TTTGAAGTGCCTCTATGACTTTCGGATCACAAACATTTATCTCTGTTTCAGTTTTACAAAAAATTTTGAAGTAATAGATGAACATGAATCTTTTGGCAGACAAAATCTTTACTAAATAGCGTCGAAGCATGTCTTTCTTAAAAGAACAAGAAAAAAAAATGAGTATAATCACTAATATTTACGTAGTTAGTGTGAATATGTTATCAACTAATTTAACTGACCGCATTAAAACTCCCTGTTTATAACACATAACGAACATACAGAATGTGCCAAAGGTTACTATTGAAAATACATGTAACTCCTGTAGCAATGAAGCTAAACACAAAACTTATTTTATTTGAAAGAAGAGACTAACATGTCTGTATTATTAAAGACCCGTTTCAACAACGATGTAGCAAAAGTGGAATTTGCGAATACAAAAAAGAATAAAATGAGGTTTTTCTCTATGTGGAAAACGATATGAAGCGTTTTTTCGATATCTATTAGAATTTCAATCGTTATTAGGAACTTCAGATCTATCCTCATGACTTTACAAATACTCATCCTGATATAACGGGTGGTCGGAAATTATTTGCACAAAATATTGGTACACTTTTGACCCGCTAGAAAGTACTTTCCACAAATCAAAGGGTATACATTAGAACCAGAATTTTGTGCTCTTTTCGAATATGGGGTCAGAAATTTTCCCACAGTTTTAGTCTGAGAGTAATGAAATAATCTTTAAAGAGCCCGAAAACTTAGTTTGGGCAGAAAATTTCCTGGCGTGTTTTTGAATTTTCACTATTGTGGTTCGAAACTAAAAGTTAGAATCTTTGTTTATACATTAGCTTGTAGATCAAAAGCTACTCTATAAAATGCACTATTTATGGTTCTTTTTGTCTTTCAATAAAGTATTCTAATTTTCGTTTTTCAGAAATCGAGTTTTTTCAAAAATCGGCTTTTTGACCAAAATTGTTTTATGTTCAAGAGAGCTCTTCAAAAAATGTTTATAGTTTCATTTTGGTGAAACCTACAGCTTAATCTAATGTCACATTTTGAAGAGAATTGTCCGCTCTACAAAACGACCACCTCGAGCAATTTTTAGTATGTTGAAGAAGGGACTTACTGGTTAAACAAAAGCCTGTTTGTTCACCATTAAAAATCATTTGTCAAACATTATGAAAATGACTCTCACTTCGTTTGAACAAAAATAGACACGAGATTTTCGAGACATTATTCGAATAGAGCAGAAAATTCTGATCACAACCTAATGCTTTTTGTTCGTCTGAAATACTCTCAGATAGACCAGAATAAACAAACATATTCACCAGAAACTCCGGTATTCAAGCTCCGCCCAAACTAAGTTTTCGGGCTCTTTAAAGATTATTTCATTACTCTCAGACTAAAACTGTGGGAAAATTTCTGACCCCATATTCGAAAAGAGCACAAAATTCTGGTTCTAATGTATACCCTTTGATTTGTGGAAAGTACTTTCTAGCGGGTCAAAAGTGTACCAATATTTTGTGCAAATAATTTCCGACCACCCGTTATTCTCGAGAAAAAGGAGCAAGAAAGCCAATATTAATAATAACATGTGTTGTTAAATAGTCCAACGCACACTTTTCACGACCTTAATGGTTTTCGAAGAGGCACGAACGACCTACCGAGGAAAAATGCATCAGTTATTGGTTCTTTTCAAAATGTGTCAGAAAATGGCTGCCAAGCAATACTGAAAGCTTTAAATGATCTGAAGTGCACAATGACGAATAAAGTTCTAGTAAATATAGAAAGTAACACAGTATTGTTTTTGACAAAGAAAAAGCCTAATGTTTTTCTTTTTGTAGCTACAAATCCTGCTTTTGCCACGTTGTTGATTAACTTGATTTTTAAGAACAAAGTGTTCCTAGGCTCCCATTTGAAATAAAAAATATTAGATTCAGCTTGAATAATAGTGCATTGAAATGCATTTAATAAGTCACAATGACTTTTGGCACATTTTATTCGCTGATCACTTTTAGTCATATCGATATCCTTCATATGAAGAAAAACTAGTTTACATGAAATAGAAGGATAGCTGCAATGGTTCATTCAAAAAAAAACAGCATGAAATCATTTTCGGTCGTGAGAAGTGCTTTTAGCTCTGCCTTGCTATATTCACATTAGATTAGGTGTAAGATTTTTATGTACATGCTAATTATCCAATAGAAAAGTTAACGTTGCCGTAAAATTTTTCACTATGGTTCAAATTTTGACATGAATAAATCCAAAAAATGCGTTTAAAATATAGCGAATATTATAAAAAGTAGAAAATAGTTCCTTTTTTGTTCCATCGCTCATCATTGTCTAGGAAAAAATTTTGAGCCTCCCCTAAGTTAAAATCGTTCCGCCGCCCATGGATCGGCTGCTCGCTTAAATGTAAATAAAATTAACTTTAATAAATTTATACTTACATTTGTATAGTCTGTTGAACTCAATCTAAATATGATAAATAATCTAATTTAACTTGTTGAATATCAGTGCCGTAATTAACTGCCGAGTACGAATTAATATTTTTTGATGTATGTCCGAAGAAGACGCATTGAAAACTCAAGCTGCAACTGTATGTTAATTGCTTATACTAAATGGAACTGAGCTAAATCGATGTGCAATTGTTTCAAAAGTGCGAAGAATATTTCCAAGTAGGAGATGTGGATTTGGGTCTATATTTGTTCTTGACAACACTCTATACTCAAGTATTGATCAGTTTGTTTGAAGATGTTGAAGAGCAGTTGTGTAAGAGATAAATGGTTGTGTTATTTCTTTTTATGACATGGGAAATATCACTTGTCTTAAAATCCAAAACAGAAAAAGCTTTAAGATCTACCACATTCATTTAAAATGATACAAGAGTTTGTATACCATCATGATGCATTGCTTCTGTTCCTGCCTCTATTGCTCAATAAAATATTAAAGAAAAATAAATGGAAATTAAATTTATAGAAGAGTTTCTATACTTTTACAAAATGTTCTATAGAAATTACAAGACATGGTATTCTATATCTTTCTTATCAACCCATAGACATATATGCATTAATTCTGAATGGTCGTGCATGCGCTTATGAGAAAACAAGTTCAGCAGAATGTTAGTGGCACACTATTAAGTTTTTCCTACGTTGCATTAAAACTTGTCTAATACTGCTTTAAATTATACAAGTGTGTAATGTTCGTTTTCATTTTTCTTTTCACGGTGACATTTATATACACATGCGTATATTATCTATCGGTACCGATCTTTTTTCTTATAAAATTTCTGAAAAGGCTCGCTACACACAATGATGAAAGATTTGATTGATTAAAGGTTGAGTCTCCATGTAGTTCCTTGAAAAAGCGAAAAAATGCTTTTGTTATAGGTCTGTAATCTACATGATTAATAGTTTGCTGTCTTTTCTAAGAATACTGAAAGTTTTCTATATATGTGTGAATACAAACTCTATGAATGATTGTATACGATGAACAATTTTCATCTCAACCTCATAAGAGTTGCTGATTGAAAAAGAAAGAAAATATCTACGGATAGAAACCAGATCATATCAATACGTAGTGATACGATGCTATTATGTATTGTGCTTTTTCTCTGAATGGAATGCAAGCAAAGCATTTCTTTGTTCTTTACCATTTGTTTTCAAGCGAAGAAAAGTATTAAATAATGGTCGTCTTCTACTTTTAATACTTACTGAAAAGATTAGACTTTCTGTAATTCTAATCTTTTATGTACATGTTAAATATTCTTCGAATAGTTCATTACAAGCATCAAGAATTTTTATTATCAATTCATTTGTCTATGATAATAAACCCATCAGTTTTTATTGAAATATAATAGTACATGAATAAAGCAGTTTTTCGAAAACTAATGGTGTATGAGGAAAAAATAAACACATAACCATTTATTTTGTCATATTGTCTACTGCAACGATACACATATGGATTCTCTATTTTATCAAAAGATAATACGTTTTCTTTTACTTTTTAGTCATACCTCACACTTTGAAGTAGGTAAATATTTGACGAACATCAAGATGAAATGCATATGTAGCTTTTTACTTGATAAAGATTTGTTCCTTCTCATATCCAACCGTCGTCCAAACGCAATACAATCAACTTAAGATTGTAAATGCAACACTACCACTCACCCAGAGTAAGAAAAGGAACGGACCCGCAAGATGAAAAGTTTAATCGATCTTCGCAGAGGATGCTGAATAGGTTTTGTTATAAATATTCTTATTTTCAAGCGAGTGCATACAAGATACATCCTTTCGAAGAAATGCACGATGAGAGTATTCTTTCTTGGTAGATCGTATCACTGAAATACTTACGCAATCAAAAAAAAATGACTTTTTTCTCGGTAATTATAGACAGCTAAAATTTTCACAATAGATTAGTGCCTCAACTACTCACTTTATAGCTCAAAATTTCATCTCCGTATTTTTGTCCTGTCATTCGAAAAGCTTCTAGGAGTAAAATATATTGATATCATCGAGCAGAAAAACTAACTATGTGAAGACTATAGATCATAGCTGACTTAGTTATGCATCTCTATTCCGGTGATTCTGTTTTATTCTAAAATACAAAAACTAAATGAGCATTCTTAATTGACTGCCGATCACCAATCTAACATAGTTCTTTCCATTTTAGTGATATACAGACTTTTTAGTATGTAGAAGATAAGCATGTAAAAAGCTTTTTATTGTCTACTTACTGATCGATCTCATAGTCCATAGAGCAAGTTTCTATTCTCTAAAATTTCTGAGACGAAAATTAATTGGTGTAATTATAACGTCAGAACTTCCTAACTTGTCCAAAATTTTAAGGTTACATTTAAAATGAGACGCCTTGCAAATGGAAGAAAGTCAAGTGATAAGATAAGGGGCATTCGTGTTGGACAGTGAAAGAAATACAATGTAATATTTATTTTTTTTTACTTGAACTAAAAAAATCATTTATTCTGATATAGTGTACAAGGATACGGAATATTTCATTTTTATATGAATAGTATGTTTAATAATCCTGCACCAAATCTTCGAGTGCGTCTATTTATAAGAATTAAGTAAATTCAAATTTTATATTCGTTTTATTAGAATAGACATTGCAGTAAAATATACATTTTCAAAATGATTATATTTTATTTTTCTTTAGCTCTTTCAAGATGTTTACGGATTTAAACATAGTCCCAAATTTAATGTTGCTTTTCTAGTTTAATAATATATTAATTTTGATTTGATGACAATACTAAAATTTTTGTGTTAAAACTCATCGAAGCCTAAAGAAAATGGCCTACAAAATTTAAAAGATATGCCTCCCATACAGATTTGTATTCGTTCCATCCAATGATTGCACTTTATTTATTAATTCTAAGTTTAGAGCAATGATTATATAGACTCAGTAACGATGAGTATTTATTTTCTTGAAGTTTTTGAACATTAATTTTAGTTCTAGTTGATATCATTCATAACCTGTCATATCTAGTATTACTTCTAAATATGACCCAACATGTGTATTTCACATGCTGTTGTCGGCTTTTGTAAAAAATATTAATGAAAAATATTGGATTGATAGCTTTATTGACAGAAAAAAAACCTTTACTTTTTCTACGAGATTTACAAAAAAAACGTAAACACACTCAACTCCACGTCGTAATGGTAAAAGACGAAAGAAAAATGAAAAAGAAAAAGACAAAGGACTATTATTGTGTTGATGATATTCTTGAAAAGTTGTTTTTCTTTTGTTTATTTAGTAGTAGATTAAAATGGAATTTAATTCCCATGAAGTTTCATAGACAGGATATATTACTGTTTCGAGAAGATTGAGCAAATTAGTTCAAAGCTTACCTGCTTTTCCTCATTTAGGGTGTGGGATGTGGGTATGAGTTTGGATTAAAACAAGAGTCACACCCACGCCCACACCCCACACCCACCCACACCCACCCACACCCACACCCACACCCACACCCC